GATGAACTAGTCAGCCAAAAAGAGAAATAAAAAAACAAACAAGAACAAAAAAAACAAAAGACCAGCGCCGACTTCGCATTGAAAAACCTCTTCAAACATAAAATACAAAAAAATAAAACCAAGAACCAAAAATTGTGAAAAAAAAAAAAACTTGGAAAAAAAGTAAAGCGGGAAGACTGGAAACCAGATCTGGGAAGGATCTGAGTCCGCAGTTCTAAAATCCAGAGGAAATTTGCAATTTCAATTATAGCTTCATTTAATCTACAATGTAAATGTACACCGCCTGTAATCTGTCGCCACGTTTCTTTCCTTCGCCGGTACAACGTTATAGCGTTTAAAAAGCAGTCGGTTAAGTACTAACCATGCTAAAATAACCAAGAAACTAGCAGGGATGTCACGTATGATCACAAGGTCACGAGCCGTAGAGGCATCGAAGAGACATGAGATTCTCAGTTATGATCAAGAAGAAGATGTTGTTCGGTTGACGACGAAAGAAGCTACGATGAACGGTCCCGACAAAGCCAAGATGATGGAGGAAAGTAAAGACAAAAATGGGACAAAACCAAATATGAGAAAAGATAGTGGAAGTATAGCTCTTCTTTTGTTTCTTTACGTTTTACAAGGCATTCCTTTGGGACTTGCCGGCGCTATGCCCATGTTGCTACAAACAAGGAAGATTGAATACAAGGACCAAGCTAAGTTTAGTCTGGTGTTTTGGCCTTTTAGTATGAAGCTCTTGTGGGCTCCTATCGTAGACACAGCTTATTTGTCAAGATTTGGCCGAAGGAAGACCTGGCTCGTGCCAGTACAGTACGTGATTGGAATCTTTATGCTTATTCTATCCAAGGTGAGAGTGTTAAAATCGCCTCTCTTTGGGGGGTTTACATTGGTGACAAGGTTGGTGGTTAGGGTATTTTTTTTTTGTAAGCATTATATTTTCTTACATAGCTCAGCAGTTACTGTTGAACGAGGAGTATTAAAAGTCGACTACAATGTGCATGACTGCCTGATCCAATGCTATTCAATTGAACAAGAACTTTAGATTGTGCTCATCACCATTAGCTTTGGCATGTGGGAAGTTCAATGTCTAGTTCACTCTTAAACGTGCCTTTGTGTGGTTCTTTACATGTATGTTAATCAAATTAATTGGAATTTGTGGTAAAAGCCTACTATTTCTTACTTCAACGAACACACTATATCCCTTAATAAGTTTCTTTGTGGTAACTGTGAAATCTAATATTTTTTTAATTGTTATTCTTAACAATGATGATATGCTATACCCTCAAATAGTAGAGGATATCACAAGAATGCTTTCTTAGTTTGACTACACCAGCATCAATACAGAGCTGCAAATATTATAGCAGTTGAACATCAGAGAATGTCTGTCGTCTGGCAATGTACTCTGTCGTCTGACAATGTCTTAATTTCCACATGTGATGGATCCAATTTTCCCCATCATAAGTTAGTACATGTAGTACTAAGTCTAAAGGCTACATGTTTAGAACTGTAATTAAAAATTCATGTTATTACTAAACAATGAGGGCATTCAAAGCATAATATGAAAATGGATCATCAATCAAATCATTAA